AGATACTAGCATTTGTGTTTTATTTTCAGTGTTTTGTGTTTGCAGAACTATCTGGGAAAAGTGAAATACGACTCTCCGAAGATTTTCTCTAAACCAGCCGTGCACACTCTCTGCACAGCAGCCCTCCCCTCCCTCCAAAAAGAGATAAAAACCAGTCCCACATTTCTTATTGTTGGGAGTTGACACTCTAATCCACAGTTATGTTGAAAAAAAATTGTTGCATGGAGAAAAAAGTCAGATATCATTTGACAACAATAATAAAAGAAAGTTGATGCCAGCTCAAACTATCTGTGTGAATTAAAAAACGAAAACCTGCACACATTGAGACAAGAGACTGGGCTATTGTGTGCCACCTAAATGTCCAATTAGAAGCAGAGCAAATTGCCCATATAAGGTAGCGTGCTGTGAGAGTGGGAGGGGCTGTTGGCTCCTTGTACAACAGTATAAGATTCTCTTCTGTGATAATTGCTATTTTTGGCCTCCAAGTGTAGCTGAGAATGAAGCAGCTTATATTGGCCTGTATGCATTTAGACAGTTGGTGATATCAAATCCAATTATCCTCAGCTGCATGACCACTGAAGCTGTTTTCATCTGTGAGTGATTCCTCACAGCAAGGAGAGGGAGACCACACTAATACTCTTCTATAAGGCATGAGTTGGGGGTGGGGAGAGAGCATAACAAGAGGGCTAACATTAAAGCAAAACAAAACAGATTAGGAGGAAAGAGAACAAGGCTGATGGTGAGCTAGCATTGAATGGAAGGATTTCTAAGCTGCCATCATTTGCAAATACCTTTTTACAAAAGGCCACGCCATAGCCTACCAGGCTGATCAAAAGCTTCTAATTATCAGCTAAATATGTTCATTAGCCGCAAAATGTATTCCCACATTTTTTTTTTCACATTTTTTTTTTTTTTTTACATTTGCAATTCTCACCCCAGCAGTGCTAGAGTTGCATGAGAACTTTTTGAAATGCTGATACTTAGGTCCCAGCCCAAATCAAATAAATCAGATTCTCTTTTTATTTTTAGAAAGACCCCTAGGGGATTCTAGTGTGCAGCCAGGCTTCAGGACCACGTAGTGAAGGAACACTAAAGACCATGCAGAAGTCCTTATTATGCAGACATTTCCAGGCATTTACATTTGCAATATTAGGGCTAAAATATCTGAGGAGCTCTCTTCTATTAAGGTGACTTCTAACCTGTGTGCCACATTTTGCCCTGATTTTTGTTGACATAAAGTCTTAGGTGGCTCCCAAAGACCAAACTGCATTCTTTCAAATATGTCAACAAAGTCACTGGACAGAAATGTTTAAGATATGCTGTGTTTTGGGGAGTTTTCAGAGCTTCTTCTTTGAGTATTGTCGCATATGTACTTACTGTATGCTAATGTGTGTTTTTAATCTCCAGTGTTTCTTAAAGTTATTTGATCAAAACATGTTTTGCAAAGACAGGGTATCCATATAGTTTCCTGTTCCACAAAAATATGCATTAGAGATCTGTTTAGCCTCCACACCCTTCACCTCCTACCCTCAACACTCCCTCTTCCTCATTCCTATTCCATAACTTCTCACACCGACAAGAGTTATGCTGGTTCTAATTATAATTCTGAATATCAGTAAAACATTGCCATAATTGAGATGCATGTAAATATATATCTTTCACAATACCTCAATGGACATGGTTCTTGCTCAGTGGGCTATTGATAAAGACCTCTCAAGCCGTAAACACCTATTTTTTTTTTAACATTAAGTTCCAAAAAGTCACAAAATTCGACCACTGCTAGCTCTTTAGTGAAAGTCAGCATTTCTATTTATACTAGAGTTTTGTGAGTGTCAAAAAATGTCTATCAATGTACTGTTATACCCTACTTTCTATTGAGGGAGATTGCAATGCATCCATTACACTGCAGAGGTCAACCTCAAAACTTGGCCAAACTATGTGGGAACTCCCAAACCATTTCCTGTTTAGTTTCTTCTCAGACAGATTAAGCTACAGCAAGGAGGCGTTAGGATAATATTTATTTCCAGAGAGGTCAAAATTGTTCATTGAGTAGATTAAATTCTATGAAGACAAATACCTATGGTCAGAGAGGTTCACTCTCTCTCTGTTTGTTGGTCAATGTCTGCCTTCTTTTCCTCCTCAGGTGCTTACCAACAACTTCCCCATTTCTCTGTTTCTTCATTCACTTTCCTTTACTCTTCTTGTTTTATTTTTTCCCTTCCTTTGGTTGTCATGTCATTCTCTTTTCCATTTAAATCTTCATGACTTTGTTTCATTTAATGATATGAAAAGTTATGTAGACATAATAGCGAAATAATTGCCTATTAATTTATCAGCCCTGCTTAGTGAGATAGGTTTTCTGCAATAAAACTGTACGGATTTAAACTTAATTAAATAAGCTGAAATATTCCAAATGTAAGAGACATATTTTTTTTCTACAAAGCAGGCTAAGATGTTTAGCACATTATAATTACATTTCAATTAGTTGTTTGGATATTTTATTAAGTTAGGTTACTGTAGAACAAATCTGTAAACAATAATATTCTCATGCTAAATGGATTTTTCTCAAGTAAAAGGATAGGCAGAGATACTTTCACTGAAGGCAAAAGAATGAAAAACAGTGGCATTTTAAGATGTATTTGGATATTTTCGTTGAACAATATTTAAAGTTTTCTTTGAGATTACAGATACTTTTCCAACTACCAAGTCTGATAAGACAGCCTTTTGAGGCCCATTCCCAAAATGGCTAAGTTTTATTACTGCTCAGGGCCTTTTCATCCTTTCATCTTTGCAAGGTGAATAAATTGTTTTCTATGTAGCATTCAATCTGTAGATCTTTTCTATTGAGACACAAATCTTCTTCTGCTCTTTGTAGCCATATTTTTCAAATCTTATGATATTTTCCAGAAGAGTAGGGCTTTGAATATATCAATGGACTCAAATGTTAAGAATCTAAATGAAAATCAGGAAAGTCAAGGTCTTTGCCAATCTCATTGGTTCATTGTTTGAGGGGATATTTTCTTAATATACTGCCTTGAATTCAAAGTCCTTTATATTTCTAAAATAAATTTTAGATTAATCATCTCATGAGACTTTTCCTTGTAACAGGGACATAACCACTTCTGCCAACAATTACGTACTAAGAAAGAAAATGTTGTTTATGGGAGTCACACAACGTAACTACAGTCACACAAAGGATTATGAGGGAATCACAGCTAGGACCCGTATGCTGAATACTAGTTTCTTGTATTCAGATCTTCACTCTTATCACTAGACTAGGGGCAAAAATACAAAAGACCAACAAGGAATAATAGAAGTAAGAAATGACAGTGGAGGAGCATCCTTGTATCTTAGCCTTAGAGTAAATAAACTGGTTTTTGAAAATGGAAATGTTTTGTTAATAAATAAAAAAAATATTTTAAGGTAAGTAACAATCAAATAATATAGTTTGTAATGAAATGTTTTTCAGTGATACTCTCAAAATTATAGGTCAGACATATATATCAGTTTCTCTTTCTCTCTTTCCTTTCCCTTCTTCTTACCTCCTTCCCATTCCTTCTCCATTTTCTTTCCTTCTTATTCTTTTATTTTTTTCCAAGACAAAGTGTTGCTCTGTCACCCAGGCTAGAGTGCAATGATCTTGGCTCACTGCAACCTCCGCCTCCCAGGTTCAAGCAATTCTCTTGCCTCAGACTCCCGAGTAGCTGAGATTACAGGTGCCTGCCACCGTGCCCAGCTAATTGTTTATATTTTTAGTACAGATGGGGTTTCACCATGTTGGCTAGGCTGGTATCAATCTCCTAACTTTGTGATCTGCCTGCCTCAGCCTCCCATAGTGCTGGGATTACAGTAGTGAGCCACTGCGCCTGGCCGCCTTCTTACTTTTTCATAATATATGATGTGAAGTTGGTCAAGACAGAAAGTTTCAAATTGCTCTATCTATTGAGAATTAAAAACATTTTTTTTCTCTCTCATATGTAACATTCCATAATGTCAGCAATAAGTTCAATAATCATTAGCTATTATTAAAAGATTATTCAAGAAGAAATTGACAAGCGCCTAATAATTTTCCTGGGTAGCAAACGCTTATCTTCCTGTTTTACCCTCTAGGCTGAAATAAAAGATTTTTCAAGTTCCAGAGCAAATGAAATAGGTAGAAAGTGCTTATGCTTTATTCTTGTAGATTGTAGCGTGTTCTAAGACCTCAATATCTAATTACACTTAATGGAGAGTTTTGAAATAAAGAGATAACCTCATTGGCTATTAGGTGTTTTAAAAATTGTGGGAAGAATCCCAGTGAAATTTTCTTCCCTCCTGACACACTCTCCTTCTTTTCCCTGCTCATGCCCACTACATCTATTTATTAGAGAAGCCATATCAACCCATGTATGTACATTTTCTCAGGATATCCAAAAGTCTTTGGATTAATTTGAGAATGTTAGATAATGTAATTGCATAGAGTTATTTTGTTGATATTGCCGTGTCTGCTGACATTCATATCAGTGATGAAGCAGACTTGGGTGCTTCACTTACATGAATATATTAGCAGGGATGTAATACAGCAATAAGCATAACATTTGGCAAATATGATATTTGGGACAACCTCTTTTACCTCTCTCGGCAAAAAGGACTAAGTGATTTTTTCATAATTTACTGACCACATCTGGATGATTCTATTTATCACATGCAGAGTGGGGATTTTAAATTACACAAGGTAGGCATACATTTTGGGTTTAAATAGAAATCTCCATGTCAAGACCCAAAGATTCATAGACTTAAAGAATTTCATGTTTGGGATGTTCTACCTCAACTTGCTCTTTAATGTTTAAATCAACTCAAATTCCAACAGCTATCATGTGCTGGCTCTGTAATATGTGTCTTAGGCACATGCTCACATTTAATGTTCCTATGTGGCGTGGATTGTTGGCAAAGAAACTTTGCAGCCCTCAGAGGTTAAATAATTTGTCCAAAGGTATACAGTTAGCTATTAAGTGGTGGATTCAAGATTTGAACTTCTACCTGTATGGCTTTATAACTGATGTTCTTTAAATTGCCACCAGGTTATCTAAGGCCATAACACAACTTACAAGGAAGAATCCCACAACACCGTGTTTTTGGTTAGCCAAATTCAGATACTGCATTAGTCTGTTCCCTGACTGTAGCTGAGAGCGCTTTTTGTCTTGACATCTCCAACTGTCGAGGCCAAACCTCTATAAATATTATCTTCTACAGATAGATGACACTGATGAGGCTAGAACTTATATCCGAATATATGTATATAGATACAAACACACACACAAATATATTTGTAGATCTAAATGCACTTTTATCCCACTACAGAAGAGGAATGATTTCTACAGAAGATGATATTACCTGAATAAGGAGAAATGCCAAATTATTTTTAAAATATGAACAACTGAAGACAGCATGTATCTCTCTCATATGTTCTAAAACTGGAATAACCAAGATTTGTGGTATAATAAAAAGCCATATATGAATACAAAAGCTTTCAAAAAATTTTTGAGACATAGAATTTGCTCTTGTTCCATTGTATTAGTGAAGAAACTGAAGAATATAAAAAAAAAAAGAAAAAAAATCATTCTTTGGAAATAACCCATAATTGGTCTGTACCTGTTGCTGGGCATTCATAGGACCCTACTCCTATACTGCCTAAAATAGTATGTCCTGCCAATTACTTTGAACTTCAGTTTCCTCACAAATACCATGGAACAAGAACAAATTCTGTGTCTGAAAATTTTTTTGAAAAGTTTTGTATTCATACATAGATTTTTTATTACACTGCAAATCTTGGTTCTTCCAATTATAGAACACATATTTAATATTTATTGAATGAGCATTGCTAAATGCTGAAAACTATTTTAAGTATTTTACAGCTCTACCTCACTTGACCCTTATAATAATTTTATCAAATATGTACTGTTTCTACTTTTCATGTATAGATGAGGAAGCCGTTATAAGAAGAAATTAAATACTTTCTTATGCTCATAGAACTAGTAAGTGAGAGATCCAGGATTGAAGACTGAGCAATCAGAAGCCAGAGAAAAAACTCAAAAGTTAAGCAGGAAGTAGGATGTGAGAGTTTTAGGCAAAGTCATTTGCGAAAATATTAGTGGTCCCTCCACTTTGCACTAGCCCGGTGGGGAAGACTTCAAAGCAGAAATATTACTCAAAACAAAAAAAAAAGTTTTAGAAACAGTTAACATGACTAGAATTATCCAAGTCTTTCCCCTAACGGGCTGTTTCTCTCAAGTAGACTGTGGAGTTTTCTACTTTGTCCTACCTCCAAGTCCCAAGAAAAAAAACTACATGACTAATGACAGTGCAAGAGGAAAGGAGTGGCTTTATGTTCAGATTCCAGGTGAAGTTTATGATGTTGTCAGAAAGAAAGCCGTTTGAGTTACAGCCTCTGTAGTCTCGGTATGGATGCTTTTTTGAGACATACACTATCTGTGGAATGCTACAGCATAAATTAGGTTTTGTTATGATTTATTTACTGTGTTTTATGATTTAGCAGAAGTTTTGAGATTAAAAACCTCAATAATAGGCACTTCTTAAAAATATGATGATGAAATCATAACAGAGCAAGAGCTCTAAGTTTGGACTAGAACGCTGGTTTAGGTTATTCAATGTGGCTATCAAAAAAAAAAATTTGTACCTTAGCTGTCTTATCTGGAAAAAAGGAGGTAATTGTGACCTTCAGGATTGTTTGGGGGTTAAATTAATGAATAAAAGTAAAACATTTAAAACTGCTCAGAACACAGGAGGTAATGCATCAGGTTAGCTCATAACTTTCAATTCAATTTTCCTTTGGTGATGCTAGGTTGGATGAAGATAAACACTGGCTTCTCTCCCTCTTTTTAAAAATGTATAATGACTATGCTGAGGCTTTTCCGATTAACTGGTCACAACTGCTGTGTTTGGCTAGAGGTGTGTATTCTATACGCCACTACTTTGTATTTAATATAAGATTCATTCTTTAGATAGTTCCTTTTGTTACATAAAGCAATATTCCTTTCAAGGTGTGGAACTTTTTCAAATGATATATTTAAAATCAAATATTTTCTAATGGAATTAACTTTAATGGACATTTCTGTAAAATAAATTCTTTCCCCATTCTTTTCAATTGTAATGTTTGGATGTGGAAGATTTAGAAGGCAAACTCTAGTGCCAGAATGAGTTTTATCCTTGCTCACTTAGAATTAATTTGTCTTTGGCAAATTAACCACGGTGACCAATTTTAATCCCTATTCTTTATAATTTGTACATATTATTTAATATACATCAAAAATGTCTTCAATTAAAGTTGATTGTGTGATGTTATTGTATAATTGTATGTATTTTGCATTAATTCTTAGTTGATTGGTATTTTAACTGCTAGAAAAAGCTAAGGCTAATAAAAGAAATATAGCAGTAAGAAAATTTCTGCTCTTTATAAGAATCGTGAAGTTGGAAAATATTATAAAAGAAATAGAATTTTAATATACATTTCAAAAATTTATTTTATAATTCATATTTTTAACATAAATTTCAAAAAGCACAGAATTATGTATGCCTAGACAAGCTCTGCTCCCTGAAAGAAATTTGAAAGAAATGTCATAAATATAGGCTAAAAATAATACCAAAATGACCAGTCCATTCAGTCAAAACTAGAAGCAAAATATCAAATAAATTTTTTGTTGCTAAATATCTGATTTATTTCATATAAACTAATCATTGTAATAGTCATAAGGTCATCATAAAATATTAATGAAGAACATTATTTTCCAACCTTACAGTTTTAAATCAAACTACACTAATACTTTCCTACATGATATTTAAACATAACCGACAGAATTAACTGACAAGTGATTGGCAAATGTGGACTTATTTGAAAAAATTACATATCCAACACCATATTATAAGAAGTGTCTAGATATCTTTTGGTTCTCTGTGCAAATTACAATTAATGATTTCTTATTTATAAATAGTAATTATATATTTAAAGTGGAATTGAAAGTAATTTCATTACCAGTCACTCTAAAATAAAAGATAGTTACTTTTGAATATTCTTCAAAGGAATTGAAAAGCAAGTAGAAACTGAAATAATGTTCAGTAATGGGATTATTGCTGAATTATCACAAAGAAAATACATTTTTTAACTGTGTAAATCAGCACAACCCTTGATTTAGAACTCTCTTAAATGAATTATTTCACTGCAAAATTATTTCGCATTACAATGCTACACTTACATTATTGTTGTGTGAATGGCATGGTTTGTATAGTGCATATTAGGATTCTAGATATATGGAAGTTAAATAGTCACAGAGAAAACTAATGTGACAATTCAGCAATGATAGAAATTTTGGAAAAGTGGGATTTCCACATAATTTTGTTTGATTTCTCAACCTCAAACTTCATGTAAGAAATGTAGGGACTATATTTATTTTTAAAATCAAAAGCAATTAAAATCAGTTTTATTTCAAACATACTGCTATACTCATTATGATAACTGGTAGTAAAGTATGCTGTGATCAAGTTTGGAATTCAGTGCTTACAAATTTCTTTTTGAAATCGAAACTGTTTACCAGTGACTCCAGTAGAGGGCACCATGCATAATTTAGCACCCTGAAAAGTCTTCTTCTGCCTGCCTTCGGTTTTCTTAAGTCATGCAGGGGCTCCCTCTGCTGGTCTTTTAGACCAGAAACCAGATGTCAATGCGTTGACCCCAAATGTCACAGTTGTTGTGCAATTATATTCTAAAGATTATTGCAGTTCCAGATCCACTTAACTTTACTACTCACAGGATTACAAGAAAAGATAGCAAACAAGTTGAGCAAGGCTTAGTTAAATACTTCTATAAATAGTTTCTAACAAATGTTACTTCTAAAATGACCAGGTAGACAAATAAAATCAAATAGTACCTGCACATTATAGAGTAATAGGCAAGAATGACACATAGCTATTGAAACTGAGCAATGACAGTTTAAAGAATCAAAATACTTGGAATGTGCGTTCCTGTATTTTTGTGCATGTGTATGTGTGTGTGAGTGTGTGTGTGAGTGTGTGTATGCTAGATGGGAAAGATGGAAGGAAGAGGAAGACACTACTTGTTTTACTCCTGCAACTACCATTGATCCAAATTATTTTCATCATACTTTTTTGATTTCATTTTAAGTGAAGTCAGATAATAGGTTTTGGCAAACTCATAAGAGTTTGCCCAGTGATCTAACAGAATCAAAATAAATGAGGTCATGTGTTTCTGCACATGCAGAGATACATATTGAGGCAATTATCTTGATAATTATTTTTTTTCTGAAATAACTTTCATATTAAATAGCAGGGAAATTGCCAAAAAAGTATTTTTTAGCTTGCTATGTATCTTGCTACATACTGAATATTGTCCAATTTCTGCAGCAAAGCAGTTAGCAAATTGTACAACTAGTATGCATCTTAATTTCCACTAAGTATTCTCATTCTTTACTTTCCTACCAGAGTCTGTGCTAATGCCACGTATTAACACATTGCATTGGCGTTTATACCCACAAGTCAAGCACAAACCACAATTTCAAACAAAATTATGGAAATTCTTGGGTGTTAAAATTTATCAGCTGCATTTTAGTAGTGAATATTAATAAATGGAATATTCAATCTTTTGTAACAACGATAATAGAGCTGTTTTTATTATTCAAGTGAGTTTTCTAAGCATTAGTAATAGCTGATGATTAATTATGGCATTTTAGTTAATGGAAAAATGATGATGAGGCAGAAAAAAGAAATGTTCTATGCAGTATACATAATATATGGATATGTTGGCTAATCTGTTGGTTTACTCCTGACTTTATCAGTGGTGGGGTTTTTGTGGGAGAAAACCAATGTTCTAAGCTCTTTTTGTAACATTATTTTTTTGTGGAGTTTGGATAACATGTATTCCAAAATCAAAATACCGTCTCGATACATGAGGTTTAGAATACAAGCATTCTTTTTACCACTGGCATTGCTGTTTTCTAAAATA